AAAAAAACAGAACATCCACGCATACCCTATAGTGGAATAAAACTGTAAAAGTAGCAAAGGTCTACCACTTGTAGGCTTTGTTGAGACCGCATTGATCTCCTCAATCAATATTTTTGAAAGGCTGTTTAGAGCCTAAATGTGAGGTAAATTATTTCGTTAATTTCAATGTGGGATGACTAGAGGCTAAGAACGAGACCTGCCGCGAAGTGAGAGAGTTTACTACAACTAGATTTATTTTTAGCTTTGAACGCACACATGAGCAAAGTCGGAGTTTTACGTTTATTGGACTGTTGGTAACGTTTTAGTCACAATAGCAAAGATTATAGTAATCTGTTCAATCAATTCCTATTGCGCATATGGAAGCATATGTACAAGTCTGTTGATTTCCTTGATCACCACGGCCCTTTTTCTTTCCGGACAGTGTTATGCATCCATTTGTCAACAACCTTCACATCGATGTCGACCACAACGTGGATGTTTCGTCGAGTTTTGTCACTGTCCTTCACAATTCGGGCTTGGGTAACAGCGCCATTGAGGCCAATAAGAATTCCAGTCCAATCCACGACTACCTGCCCTCTGAAAAAAAACGTGCTTCTTCGTAGCTTGGTGAAGGAAATGGGATGGAACGAACCTCGTCATCAGTCCTTGAAGTTCGACGCTAACGCGGAGATCCATTGCTTTTTTCACAACAAGTTCTTCATTAATCGCTGCTGAGACTGCCACTTCATCACAGTAACCGTACTGACGACCATACTTGCTCATTACTTCACGACCTGCAGATGCACTACGGTAATAAAACTTCCGTTTAGCCTGTGAATTTTGAAAATATAAATTTGCAAATTTTGTTCGAAAGATGCCTTAGTGATGTATACTTTAATCTGAATTTTGCTTAAGAATCCTTCACTCAATGCTGAGAACATTCACAAAAAACTATAATTTCAAGATTCTAAACTGACCTATACGAGTAGCTGTAGATAGAAACGAAGCTAATGGAGTGTCCACCCTCAAATGGGCATCGAAGTCTACCTCAGCCTCATGCTTAAGTAATTCGACTTCAGTTCAGAATCTGAGACATTCAAACCTTACCTCCGCTCCTTTCAAATAGACATTTTCCCATGGTACCAAAGTAATGTCAGTGGCCATCTCTTCGAGGACGATTTTTGCTGCTTCAGGGTCACCATTAAAGTTGAATTCTGCCGATGAGTGCTCATCCACATTACCGACACCTCAAAATGTTCTTGCACGGCATAGTTGAAGCTGACAACGTAAGAAACACAGTAACGTACCAAAGTAATTTCCACCTAAGATTACAAGCTTATGAATCCGTTCCGCAAAGCTTGCATCGATCTTGTAAGCAAGCGCTATGTTAGTCAATGGTCCCAAAGCTACAATAGTGATATCCTTGTGTTCTTTGGTAAGACGTATCAAAGCCAATGCAGCACTTTCAGACTCATAGGCTGAGAAATCTGATTGCAAAACCTAAAAAAAGTTAAAACCCCTTAAGTTTCTAGAAGGCGAAAATCAAACCTCAGGAAAAGCGGCTGGGGAGTCACCGATGCCATCAGCACCAAAAAAGGGATGACGAAAGAAAGGCTTGCGTATGATCGCTTCCCCTGCTCCCTTGTATACTGGGATCAACTCCTAGGTTACAACTCATTAGGATGAGTCAAAAGTGGCCACCAACCTCTACACCATTCGCCCTTTGTAGTCTCGCGACATTCGCGGTCGCTTGCTCGACAGGTACGCATCCATGGACAGTGGTTATTGCAATTAACTGAACATTGACATAAGCTTCACATAAACCTTGGTCAAGAGTGGATATATAATGTTGCGAGCCCCGGGAATACTTCATGCGATTTTACTGCTTTGAACAACTCTTACGACTCGG